AGTCAGTTGCCGATTTCCCCAGTTAAGAAAGCATATTCAAGTCAATTTAATTTTGTCCTTCAGGCTACGGGAATATGAAGTTGAGGTTGATAGGTCTATGAGTCGTGGACCAGAAGTTGAAAGAATTTATTTTGTTATCATAGAGATGGCGCGTAAGTCTTGCTAATCCCATGCCTTTTTATTTTTTCTTTCAAGTTTTGTCTTCCTCTTCAGTTATTAAGAAGCATTTAATGACTAGATGTGCATTGAAACAGCATGCCTGCTGAGCTTGCTCATAAGGCTGATCTAAAATAAGATTCTGCTGATTTTCTGAATTGTATCTCTATCATCATTGCAGCTGTAACGTATATAGACTCCAGCGCCGTTCAAGCCTTAAAAGACTTGCATCAGGAGTACAAGTTGCGGGATATCCAGATAGCGATTTCCAATCCGAATCGAGAAGTTCTGATGACCTTATCAAGCGCAGGTGTAGTTGACCTGATTGGTAAGGAGTGGTACTTTGTGAGAGTGCATGATGCTGTTCAAGTTTGCCTTCAGCATGTGCAAAGCTTAAAGGAGACACCTAAGGCAGCAGACCCATCGTCTGAAGAGAGACTGACTTCCTTCCAGAGATTGATTAAGCAACGAACAGAGGATTCATCTGTGGCCGAACTGGAGTCTGGCTCCAAGGATATTGACCCTCAGTTGGAACCACTACTGTCACGAAAATCTTCATGATTTTCTTGACATGTAATATATGATGCCTAAATTTTTGCAAGGCAGCTTTATATTTGAACATATTCATCCCATTTTTTTTAGCTCTTCAGGGTTGATTATTTCCATTTAATTAGGCTTCTTTACTGTAAAATGTATTGCATGAGCTTTCTCATTGGAAAAAAGAAAAGACAAAAATTGTAAGTAATGCACTTTGAATAAATGTAAAAAATCAACTTTCACACAACGATTTAATGAGTATGTAAGTCGTCGTTCTTCAATCGACGTTCCTTCCCCCTCTACGTGCTCTTCCGATCTGTGTTTCTTACCACTAGAAGGCTAGAAACAACTTGGTTTCAGTGGTTCTATATATCAACTTTCCAGGACTAATTTTCTATTTCTCATTCTAGTCTACATGTTGGTAACTTGATCTTAAATGTTTATTTTCCAGTGTGAAATGCGCCCAAATTGCAAGGTGCTTGAGAAATCTGCACAGCGGAGGCAGCAGGAGGCAGAAGTTGTAAAAGATAAAACTAGTCTTGGAAGCGGTGGAGGGGAAGGCTAACTTTCCAAGACGATTTGTCCCACATCGAAATTCAACAGAGAGTTGGTACAAGTAGAGCGCTATAAATAGAAGATGGCGCGCAACGTTAAAACTTGCCTTAAACTAATGAGTAAGGAAAACAAAGCGAGCGGTGAGAGCCGCTCGCCGCGCAACGCATAATGTGCGCATGAATTTATGGAGGGGTTATAGGCTGGCCGAGTGTTGACGCTGTTACTTTGCAGAACTCGCTCGTGCGGGCCTCCCTATTACCCTCACAAATCTTAGTTCTAAGCTTTTTTTAACCTCAACTTAATATAATTTGAAATAAAATGAATTAACTATTCTAATCTACACCTGCCTGTTTGGTATGTAGAAGTCAAGATATCCAGCGGCACTTATTATTAGTGGCTGAAATAGGTCCCAGAAAAATAAGAAAGTCCTCCAAATTTATGCCACTCATTTTTCTTTTTCTTAATACAAGCGAAATTAAATCTAGGATCTCGGTTGCAAGCAAAATTAAATTTAGGATCTCAATTGCAGGGATTTTCAGTCAGTCTACTATCCCTCTTTCTTTCGTTTTTTTTTTCTTTTTCATTTCTGATTTGGATGGAAAGTTCCATTTTACAGCCGAGACAAAATATTGATGAGAAAGGGCGAATGACAAGGTAGGAACCTGCTTCAACTCCAACTTTGTGTTCTTCATGCACAAACAAGCTGTCTCGTCTTAGCGAATCAAGGTAGAGAATATAATCATAAAATACAAAATCTTCTAGAGCATCAAATCCCACATACGCAACAATTTTCTGATTAGAATGGTTTAGTCCCATTGAAGTTCTGGTTCATTTATAAACCATATAATATGAACTCAGTGATGTGTCTTAACACTCTCAAAACTTCAATCCCCCAAATGTCTTACAAAAAGCCAAAGCTCTCAACTTCAAATCCAGACCTTTCTGAGTAATGGATGGATGGTAGCTAAGCCTACTTACTTAAATCCACGTGGATGGAAGGATGCAACAAAATAAAAGGCATGTGGCATTATTAGAATTCAAATCAGGATCACACAACTGGAAACCCACATAATTTTGTTTGTTTCTCTGTGTAGTCTCTATATATTAGTTCATTATTTAACAAGAAGAGGAAAGGCGATTTATTTGAGAATTGATAGAAAAAGTGAATCTCGTGCAAACTCTGGTTCAATACTGTTGACGCCAGCTAGCCTCCATCAACCATTCTTCTCATCATACCCTTTGGGGAGGGACCATTTTCTCTAATTATGTGACCTTCTTGTCAGCTTAACTAGTTCATTCAAATCATTATTAAGTTTAATCAAGCATGACACGAAACATTAGTTCTTTGTTTTCGTATTTTTTTATATAAGCGATAATCTAAATTTCTCTAAATTAATCTCATTTATGAAAAAGAAAACTCGAACTTGAGTGAAGGGGGCAAATTAATTATCTGGAGATTATGGTATCTAGAGAAAATTCTTGGGTGTCCATAGAATTACCCTCCTAAGCCTGACCAACATAGCTAGCCTATGACGATATATTTTGTCCCATCTACAGGAGGACTTCAGCTCAAATGAGCAAGATACTTTCTGGCCCCATTTTTTTATATAGAAATTTTAGGATTGCATTCATAATTTAGCCAAAAAAATTACCAGTCATAAAAGGCCAATACAGACTAGTCATAAAGGACCATTACAATAACAAAGCGGTCTAACATCAAAATTAAGACAATTTGATACGCCTCCACTAACGATCAAGCAGGATTGAAGAAATTCTGGCATAGGCATCCCAACTAAGATTGCAAACTCAGAATAATCAAAAAGAGATAAAACTTGAAAAAACCAAGTCATAACAATACAAATAAAATTTTCACAAAGGAGATATGAAAAGTTCTCACAAATGAGAGATGAAAAGTTCTCACAAGAGGTGAAAAACTCTTATAAAATGAGAGGTAAAAACTACACAGAGAACTCAAAGAGTCTCTGTGACTTATTATGAACATAAAGAAACTGCAAAAAGAATGGTGATGGAGATCCGCCGAAAAACAAGTGGAGATCCAAAGCCAAGATGCAGCCGCCCATCCCCAACAAAAAAGTAAAAACGGCTTTAGGATGATTTTTTTTAAAAGACAAAATGCATGAGAAAGGTACACAAAGTGGGACAACGCGTGTAACATCAATTACTTTTTGGCTGAATTATTGGTCCTTGTTGCATATATGATATAAGTACCCAAAAAAAGACTGGTGATGCATGTGAATGCTGATGTATGGCTTGAGCCATCTGCTCCGTATGTTCGAAATCATATTTGAACCAAAAAAAGATTGTAGCTGGACAAAATGTACACCGTCAATTGATACCAAAATTCATCATTCTAAAATGTTTGGTGATCCCTACAACTAGGGCTCTTCTTTGAAATTCAAGCAAGAGAACGCAGTGGCATATGGCAGTTATTATTTGCTTTCATTTGAGCCAACTATGAATCTTATTTAGTGGCTATCAATCAATGGGTAGTAAAAAGTTCATGTCAATAGGGGAATAATTTGAACGTTTCTATTTATACTTTACACTACGCTTTGTAACTAATGTTATATTTGTGAAGTGGTCCCAAATGAGTAAGGAATTTGTAGCTCAAGTTATTAAGAGCATTGATCTCTGCATTTGAGATCTTAGGTTCGATTCCCCCGCTCCCCAATATTACTTGTATAAAAAATAAAAATAAATGGTCCCAAACGAGAATAACACGCGTGTTAGGATGCGTACAAGAATTTCTTAGTTCTAGTGGGCCCTCCCACTCATTACTGTGGAGAAGGAACTATACCTTATTTTGATAACACGGGTAAGATTGAAATACTATTATATGATCATTTGTAAATCTCTTATCACATGTGTCATAACATTATTAGTCACTCGCACATGCTATGTAGGTGGTTCAAACCTCCACGCCATTCTCCCGGTAGCGCCTTATCCACTGTGGTAAAGGTGCATTTATATTTCTTTGTGCTAAATGGATGGTATTTTTGGCTTCTTAAAATCTTGCCGAAATTAAGGAGTTGGATTAATTAATTAATTACTATTTCTTATCCTTATTAATTACTTAAGTTTCTAATATTATTTTCTTTCTTTTCTATTTAATTCCTTTAATTTTATTTATTTATTCACTATAATTTATTTATTTTAATATAAAGAAAATTGTGATCGTACCGTTTTATCCCTATTTAATAAAATAGCTTTTGTTGTAGTATTTTTATTAGTCAAGTGCAAAGGCCTTTGAATGTTTCACTTTTAAGCCCTTCTGCTTATATATTATATATTTTTTAAGTTACAGTGTTTATCAGTTCGCAGTATACCCAACTTAAATTACTCAAACTCACTATGCAATACATTTGCTTCAATTGTTTTTGTCAAATTAGTAGATAATTGACTAAATAAACATTTTCTAAAGTTTCATTAAAAGTTTTCATATTTTTATCACAATTTCTGTTGTTTTGATACAATTTTTACCGATATCGATACTTTTCCGATATTTTTATCGATATTTCCATATTTTTAAACCACCAATATTTAAGACCTTGATCTCAACCATCATCTATCGCCCCATGTGGACTCATCTCTCCCACCTGCCCTATTTTAACACGGAAATTAAAGTCAAATAGAGCTTTTAGTTATTAGCTCCTGATATTATATGATGTGACACTGTTAATTAATTCATACGTACACGAAAGTTTTTTTTTTTTTGCATATCTGTTAATGTCTATATATTAACTCTCTCTCACTCCCCAATCCCTGCAGTCTTCTTCTGTTTCTAAAATTACACATCTACAGAGAGATAATGGCAGATTCTTCTGCAACATACATACACTTGGTAACTGAGATACCATAAAACTTGAGTCTCTTATTATTGTTTGGTTTACATAATTTATGTTTTTGTTATTGTTTTTGTTTTTAATGATGTTTATGCTTAATAATCAATATGTGTGATTTTGGTGACCAACCCGAAATAGGTACACCACCTGATAGAAACGTGCCTGATCTTCCACATGACTAAAGAGGAGTGCATGGAAGCCCTATCTAAACATGCAAACATCAAACCTGTCATTACCTCCACTGGTTAGTTCTTTCTCTTCAACTCTCTCTTTTTAAAGCCCTTTGCTGTTCGAG